TGATGGGTGGCTGGTGTATAACATGTATATCACAGCGATTGCTGGCTAGTGTATAACTGATGTATCACAGTGATGGGAGACTGGTGTATAACATGTATATCACAGTGATGGGAGGCTGGTGTATAACATACATATCACAGTGATGTGAGGCTGTGTACAACATATATATCACAGCGATGGATGGCTAGTGTATAACACATATATCACAGCAATGGATGGCTGGTGTATAACATATATATGCACTGTGATGGGAGGCTGGTGTATAACATATATATCACAGTGATGGGATGCTGGTGTATAACATGTATATCACAGTGATTGGTGGCTGGTGTATAACATATATATCACAGTAATGGGTGGCTGGTGTATAACATATATATCACAATGATAGGAGGCTGGTGTATAAGAGATATATCACAGTGATGGGAGGCTGGTGTATAACAGATATATCACAGTGATGTTTGGCTGGTGTATAACAGATATATGACAATGATGGGAGGCTGGTGTATGACAGATCTATCACAGTGATGGGAGGCTGATGTATAACATGTATCTCACAGCAATGGGATGCTGGTGTATAACATATATACATGTATCACAGTGTTGGATGGCTGGTGTATAACATGTATTTCACAGTGATGGGAGCCTGGTGTATAACACATATATAACAGTGATGGGTGGTTGGTGTATTACATATATATCACACTGATTGGTTGCTGGTGAATAACAGATATATCACAGTAATGGATTGATGGCTGGTGTATAACAGATATATCACAGTGATGGGAGGCTGGTGTATAACATATATATGCACTGTGATGGGAGGCTGGTGTATAACATATATATGCACTGTGATGGGAGGCTGGTGTATAACAGATATATCACAGTGATGGGAGACTGGTGTATAACATGTATATCACAGTGATGGGAGGCTGGTGTATAACATATATCACAGCGATGGATGGCTAGTGTATAACATATATATCACAGTGATGGGTGGCTGGTGTATAACATGTATATCACAGCGATTGCTGGCTAGTGTATAACTTATGTATCACAGTGATGGGAGACTGGTGTATAACATGTATATCACAGTGATGGGAGGCTGGTGTATAACATACATATCACAGTGATGTGAGGCTGTGTACAACATATATATCACAGCGATGGATGGCTAGTGTATAACACATATATCACAGTGATGGGTGGCTGGTGTATAACAGATATATCACAGTGATGGGTGGCTGGTGTATAACATATATATCACAGTGATGGGAGGCTGTGTATAACAGATATATCACAATGATGGGAGGCTGGTGTATAACATATATATCACTCCGTTAATCCTGTTTCATTAGTTTCTGAAGAGTTATCCCCCTTTGTTTACTTGCTAGCAGACGACATTTTCAGTGATCCTCAGTATGGATGATTTAGAGAAGAGGAAGTTGATTTTAGAGTATTATAACAAGGACATCAGATCAGCTAAAGTGATTTCAAGTAGAACAGGCATCCCTTTGTCCACTGTTTATCGTGTTTTGAAAAATGTTGCAAATGGATATGGCATTGAGCACCAGGGAGGCGCAGGTAGGCCCAGAAAATTGACTGTCGGTGACAGGAGGCGGCTTGGTATTCTTGTTTCTAAAAACAAACGAAGGAGTTTAGAAAACTTAAGGCTGATATGATTGATAGAGGAACTGTGGCTGCCTGTAAGGACCCAATTAGAACTGAGCTGCATGCAATGGGTTGGCAGAAAAGTCGAGGAATTCCATCACCGATCATGAAACCTGAACAAAAGGAGCGAAGGTTAAACTGGTGCTTACAGCATAGAAATTTAACTGGGACAATGTGATTTTCTCAGATGAAAGTTCTGTGTGGCTGTTTCCTAATACACTGAAATTCTGGACCAAACAAACTGAAAAACCTTAGTATCAGCGCCCAAAGTACAGTCCGAAATTCAGGGTTGGAAATAAGTTTAAATGTGCTTGTGTACACCGGTACAGTGGCACATGTAAAGTCACTTGCCCTGATTATTTTCCCACTATACCAACCGTTTTCTTGCTGATTTTTTAAATAAAAAACATAATAAACATTGGAAAGTCAACTGGACACCGGTACAGTGTGATATACAAATTTGCTTGCCCGGCAGAAAAAAACACTGGACTCGGACGTCGGGCAATGGGTTATTTCCACCCCTGAAATTTAACGTGTGGGGTGGCATATCTGTGTTAGGGCAACGCCTCTCTGTGTATCTGAAGGGAATATGAACAGTGAGCGGTAGACAGATGTTCTCGAGGACATTTACTTCCATCTGCTCACTTGTTCTATGGAAACTTTTGGATTTTCCAGCAGGACAACGACCCAAAACATCGTTCAAAGCATTCACAGGCCTGGTTTCGGACCCAAAATATGACATTATTCGATTGGCCAAGCTATAGCCCTGACCCAAATCCAATAGAAAATGTTTTGGGACTTATGAAGGAAAGTGTCAATAAGAAAAATCTGACAAATATTGCTGAAATGAAAAGAGGTGGTCCGATATTGGGACAGCATGGACCACGACATTCTAACTTCTTTGATCAGTAGTATGCCCCGCCGCATTGAAGCCTGCATTGCTGCCCATGGTGACTTGACAAAAACTAACTGTTCACCCGTCTTTGAATCTGGAGTTATGTTCTGCTAATATTCACATTTAATACGTGAGTAATAAGTGAATTTTTTTTTAAAATTACAATCTTAATTCTCAATAATTTCTGGTTGTACTGTAGCTTAGGTGGACTGAGGCCTCAGCGGCCCCTGTGGTGACGATCGGTCTTCCACTCATGCTTCGCATTCCTCGCTGCCACGGTGTACCAGGTATTATACCACACGCCTTTTGTCCTCCCAGTCGTGACAAACTCGGGTGTTTTGTTCACAGCGTGATCTGAAAGTTTCAACCACCAGGTCTCATTTACAACAACGTGACTCGCATATGTTGATATTGATTGTTTGATTGCTAGTTTCGTTGATTCGGTTCACTAATCAACTTATATTTATCCACAGATCCGTATGTTCACAGCAGTTGAAAATTATGACTCGTTGAAATGAACTATATAATATGTTTAATAACAGACTCGGTCATCCAGTGAGTGTCCCTTAAATAGAGTTATTTCCTCGTGACGTCACGTACTAAATCTCTCTTATCACTTACCTATGACAGGCACCGATCTGGTTCCTCTGATCAGTGTAGATAGTAGAACCACAACCTGGTCATAGGTGAACGTTTCCCTAAAGACAGACTTGTGTGTGGAAGAGAGAGGGAGAGAGAGAGAGAGAGAGAGTGTGTGTGTGTGTGTGTGTGTGTGTGTGTGTACTTTGTGTGTGTGTGTGTGTGTGTGTGTGTGTGTGTGTGTGTGTGTGTCCGTCTGTCTGTTTGTCTGTGTGCAAGTCTGCCAGTCTCTGTGTATGTGTAAGCAAGTGTGTGTCTCTGTCTCTGCGTGTGTCTTTCTACCCATGAGTTATGATTCTCTGTGTATATGCCTTTGTGTCAGTGAATATTGTGTCTCTCTGTGTACGTGTCGGAGTCTATGTATTTGTCTTCGTGTGTATGAACATGTCTGTACGTCCACATGTCTGTCAGTCACACAATGATGTATTGAGAGAGTGTGTATATGTGTGTGTGAGAGAGGGGGATAGGGGGCAAGTTGAAGTTGATTTATTGGGTTTGTGTTTTCAACTTGCTTGTTCTTTCAGTGCGTTGTAAGGTGTTGGCACCCCAATAGCAAGGACGTGTTGTTGTACTTAAAGAGTCAGTACCTGAGTGTCTTAGTGGAAAAATATTGAATGTGAAATCCTCGGTGGCTCCATGTATCTTGACACTACTGCCTCTGAAATACTGCTTCCATCACAAGATGGTAAATAATTGTATATACGTCGTGTACTGTATCGCGAGCATGTATGTACGATGTAGATGTGAAACAACAATATCATAAAATAATCAGTATCGCTTATTTGCCGAGACATATTTGACGGGAAAGTCAAGATATGTGATGACAAGTTGATGGACCACTGAAATCAGTATGGACACCAGGTGTTCGCGAAAAGGCCACCGGTTCTACTGTACCACCCGCCGCACACATAAGAGCAAAAATATACTATTCACACTTTGCTAAGGATCAAACCATTGATTCAACAGAAACTATGATGTGGGGTGTAATTTGGTTTAAATATCTAAGCTTATTGTAAGCATGAATCCTAGGTTTCAGTATGTCACTGCAACTTGCGGATCCCATACCTGATATTCACAGGTGCTGTGTACTTGTCAGTGACTCGTTCCACGATTTGCAAAAAAAAACATTTTTATGGTTACTCACGTATCAAGTGCATAAGGTTAGGTTAAAGTGGATGTTTGCCTAAAGAGGGGTTACCATATCATTATTTATCTAGTTTTAAATGGATACAATTTCAAATTATAAATCTATGTTTAAGTAAAGTTGTGAATTTTTGTGACCCTTAGCAAAGTGTGAGTAGTATACATCCTGGTTGCTTAACGCCGCACCGTTCATTACCAAACACAACTCATAAATGACAAACTGAAGTCGTCAATCACCCCTGAGGTGTTGCAGTACACACGAACAAATTGGTTAGAACACGCTGACCTAGCAGTCGTGTTGGCAGCCATGTTCTCCAGCCAAATGTAATGACCTTGTCGAAATGTTGGTCCGTTATAGACAACTCGCAGTGCGCAAGCAAGATAATGTTTATACATATATAGTGTATGTGTCTAAGTCCGGTTGGTGCAAAGGGGCTGCAAAAAGTAATTTTATATTCTGTAAAATTAAAAGGCAAAAAGTAGAAATCCTCCTACTGAAGCTCATCAGTTATCGTGGATGATGTAATGTGTCGGAAGTATTCAATCATTCGTGGAAGGATGAATGTACGACACTATAAGTGAGCATGTTTGTCTCAACTGAAAGGCGAACAATGAGTTGGACACATGTAAACATATGAGGCTTTGAAATGCGTTTTTCTACAGAAATACAGCATTTTATTTTCAAAAACATTTCTTAACAATACCAACAATGTAAAGTTTAATTCAAAATTAATTCGGAGGGATCATGTAGTTAAGTACAGCAGGTAAAAGTCTCTTCTCACCGCCTTGCCTGGCGTGTACTTCGGCTAATTTACAACAACGTTAATATTTCATTGACACTGTGTGTTTTAACAGGTCTTGATCCGACAACGAGGAATGTTCTTATACATACAATATACACTTTCATTTTTAAAAATCGATATTTCAATTTATATATTTGTGCGCGGATAATCTGTTTATATTGTAACAAAACAACACGGAATACGTTTGTTAGTGTAAAGAAGAAATCTCATAAGTTGTTAGAAATATTGAAACTAGAAAAAATAGTAGACATACGCTAGCAAATAGTGACAAAACCTGTCTAATATGAACGAGAGAAAAATAGTGATAAAACCTGTCTAAAGAGTAAACAAGTATTGCAGAATGAAAGTGCGCAAACGAGAGACTGTCACACGGGTTAGAACAGGTGCTTGCTCAGTTGACTTGTCTTAGTGAGATTTCAATCAGATCATTGATACAACTTGTATAATACCAACTTGGCAAAATAGTTTTCAGTATTAACAGGACATTAGGTAAAAAAGAAAGAAAGCTTGGATATTTAAAGACGATCGTCGCCAAAATGGAGTGTCTAAATCTCCATGTTTGTAACCAGCTTGGCGGCGTCGTGGGTCTGGGGAAGTCCCTTCTTCTCGCCATCCCCGAACCCAAGCACACTGCTGTGGATGACCGCGGGAGCCATGGGGGTCTTCTGAATGACGACACCACCGGCAGACTGGAAATATATGGATTTGCGTCTATTCAATATTGTCTAAAAGTCAAATAAGAGTTGTTTGCAGTCACATGTTACTGTCTGTTGACACACTAACGAGTTACGTCAATACAAGAAATCTGATCTGAATAAGGTTGAAATGATTAGAAACGATCTTATCGACAACAGTGGGATAGGTCATTTATAAACAACCCGTTGTTGTTTGTTGCTTAAAGCTGCAGACAGAAGTACTCCCGTCGTGTGACGACGAATTTAATATGATTGACTCCGGACGAGATAATCCAGTGATTGGGAGCAGCGATTTACGCCATCGGGTAACATGACACGCAGTCAATAAAGACAGCGGCTTGACCAGCAGATCTACTTAGTCGGCTATTCAGGCAGCTATGGATCTCTCTGCCCCAAATCCCGGGGCAGAGGAAGTGTTTGACGCCATGGGCTGACACTGGGGAAAGGACGCAGCTTACCTCCCGCCTGCAGATGAGGACGCCGGAGAGGATGGTGCTGACGAGGGTGAGTATCCAGCCGGAGACGACGACGAGGACAACGATGATGCACATGACGTAGAGGCAGTGGAGGTTGTCACAGGTCATTTCGAGGGTCAACGGCTCGTACATATCTTCCGATCTGTAATGTTACAATAGATATATAAAAGTAAATAAGCGGAGTATGCGCTACACACAGCTGAATTGTGTTTCTTAAATGACCCGCCACTTCTGCCGCTTGACGAAAGGTATATATTGGTAGTACGAAGCAGGTCCACGACTCAAAATGGGTATTTCAACTAACGCCGGCATTGATGTAACCTATGGCTCTGGAAGCCTTGGTCAACCTCATTCATTCAAAAGAAAAGAATGACTTAAAAAACTATAAACACTCAGTCAGGATGGACCTTTCTCCTATTTTGCTCTGAGCCGAACAAGTTATTTTCTCCATAACACGTCTGTCAGGCCATATAGCATACAGTGGCAATATTCTAAAATATTATGTAAAAACTGACACAAAGTATTTGTAAGTATTTTCTGGAGCAAACTGTTTTACAAGTGTTTTTACAAATGAGCTTGTTTTTCAAACTGTTTTGACAAATCACAGGCACAGATTGCACGTAACCACTACAGTTGAACACTCACGTGCATTGACACTTCTCTCCTAGAGGAGTACACTGGTTGGGGTGGGAGACGGCCAAGCTACCCAAGGCCACGACTCCCACAACGAAGGCGATTCCCATGACGAGGAGGGTCATGATGCTGAACACCATGTGGGTGATGTACTGGAAGAGAGAACACGAACACATGAAACATAGAACACCATGTGGGTGATGTACTGGAAGGGAGAACAGCAACAGTGTGAACACATGAAACATAAAACACCATGTGGGTGATGTACTGGAAGAGAGAACAGGAACACATGAAACATAGATCACCATGTGGGTGATGTACTGGAAGGGAGCACAATAGAACACCATGTGGGTGATGTACTGGAAGAGAGAACAGGAACACATGAAACATAGAACACCATGTGGGTGATGTACTGGAAGAGAGAATAGGAACAGTGCGAACACATGAAACATAGAACACCATGTGGGTGATGTACTGGAAGAGAGAACAGGAACACATGAAACATAGAACACCATGTGGGTGATGTACTGGAAGAGAGAACAGGAACACATGAAACATAGAACACCATGTGGGTGATGTACTGGAAGGGAGAAAAGCAACAGTGTGAACACATGAACCATAGAACACAATGTGGGTGATGTACTGGAAGGGAGAACAGCAACAGTCTGAACACATGAAACATAGAACACAATGTGGGTGATGTACTGGAGACAATAGAACACCATGTGGGTGATGAACTGGAAGAGAGAACAGGAACAGTGTGAACACATGAAACATAAAACACCATGTGGGTGATGTACTGGAAGAGAGAACAGGAACAGTGTGAACACATGAAACATAAAACACCATGTCGGTGATGTACTGGAAGGGAGAATAGGAAAAGTGCGAACACATGAACAATAGAACACCATGTGGGTGATGTCCTGGAAGGGAGAACAGGAACACATGAAACATAGAACACCATGTGGGTGATGTACTGGAAGGGAGAACAGGAACACATGAAACATAGAACACCATGTGGGTGATGTACTGGAAGAGAGAACAGGAACAGTGTGAACACATGAAACATAGAACACCATGTGGGTGATGTACTGGAAGAGAGAACAGGAACAGTGTGAACACATGAAACATAGAACACCATGTGGGTGATGTACTGGAAGAGAGAACAGGAACAGTGTGAACACATGAAACATAGAACACCATGTGGGTGATGTACTGGAAGGAGAACAGGAACAGTGTGAACACATGAAACATAAAACACCATGTGGCTGATGTACTGGAAGGGAAACAATAGAACACCACGTGGGTGATCTACTGGAAGAGAGAACAGGAACAGTGTGAACACATGAAACATAGATCACCATGTGGGTGATGTATTGGAAGGGAGAACAGGAACAGTGTGAACACATGAAACATAGAACACCATGTGGGTGATGTACTGGAAGGGAGAACAGGAACAGTGTGAACACATGAAACATAGAACACCATGTGGGTGATGTACTGGAAGGAGAACAGGAACAGTGTGAACACATGAAACATAGATCACCATGTGGATGATGTACTGGAAGGAGAACAGGAACAGTGTGAACACATGAAACATAAAACACCATGTGGCTGATGTACTGGAAGGGAAACAATAGAACACCACGTGGGTGATCTACTGGAAGAGAGAACAGGAACAGTGTGAACACATGAAACATAGATCACCATGTGGGTGATGTATTGGAAGGGAGAACAGGAACAGTGTGAACACATGAAACATAGAACACCATGTGGCTGATGTACTGGAAGGGAAACAATAGAACACCACGTGGGTGATCTACTGGAAGAGAGAACAGGAACAGTGTGAACACATGAAACATAGATCACCATGTGGGTGATGTATTGGAAGGGAGAACAGGAACAGTGTGAACACATGAAACATAGAACACCATGTGGGTGATGTACTGGAAGGGAGAACAGGAACATATGAAACATAGAACACCATGTGGGTGATGTACTGGAAGAGAGAACAGGAACACATGAAACATAGAACACCATGTGGGTGATGTACTGGAAGAGAGAACAGGAACAGTGTGAACACATGAAACATAGATCACCATGTGGGTGATGTACTGGAAGAGAGAACAGGAACAGTGTGAACACATGAAACAGATCACCATGTGGATGATGTACTGGAAGGGAGAACAGGAACAGTGTGAACACATGAAACATAGAACACCATGTGGCTGATGTACTGGAAGAGAGAACAGGAACAGTGTGAACACATGAAACATAAAACACCATGTGGGTGATGTACTGGAAGGGAAACAATAGAACACCACGTGGGTGATCTACTGGAAGAGAGAACAGGAACAGTGTGAACACATGAAACATAGATCACCATGTGGGTGATGTATTGGAAGGGAGAACAGGAACAGTGTGAACACATGAAACATAGAACACCATGTGGGTGATGTACTGGAAGGGAGAACAGGAACAGTGTGAACACATGAAACATAGAACACCATGTGGGTGATGTACTGGAAGGAGAACAGGAACAGTGTGAACACATGAAACATAGATCACCATGTGGATGATGTACTGGAAGGGAGAACAGGAACAGTGTGAACACATGAAACATAAAACACCATGTGGCTGATGTACTGGAAGGGAAACAATAGAACACCACGTGGGTGATCTACTGGAATAGAGAACAGGAACAGTGTGAACACATGAAACATAGATCACCATGTGGGTGATGTATTGGAAGGGAGAACAGGAACAGTGTGAACACATGAAACATAGAACACCATGTGGCTGATGTACTGGAAGGGAGAACAGGAACAGTGTGAACACATGAAACATAGAACACCATGTGGCTGATGTACTGGAAGGGAGAACAGGAACAGTGTGAACACATAAAACATAGAACACCATGTGGCTGATGTACTGGAGACAATAGAACACCATGTGAGTGAGGTAAGGGGGACAATAGAACACTATGTGAGTGAGGTACTGGAGACAATAGAACACTATGTGAGTGAGGTACTGGAGACAATAGAACACTATGTGAGTTGATGTACTGGAGCCAATAGAACACTATGTGAGTGATGTACTGGAGACAATAGAACACTATCTGAGTGAGGTACTGGAGAAAATAGAACACTATGTGAGTTATGTACTGGAGACAATAGAACACTATCTGAGTGAGGTACTGGAGACAATAGAACACTATGTGAGTGAGGTTCTGGAGACAATAGAACACTATGTGAGTGATGTACTTGAGTCAATAGAACACTATGTGAGTGAGGTACAGGAGACAATAGAACACTATGTGGGTGAGGTACTGGAGACAATAGAACACTATGTGAGTGAGACAAGGGAGACAATAGAACACTATGTGAGTGAGACAAGGGAGACAATAGAACACTATGTGGGTGAGGTAAGGGAGACAATAGAACACCATGTAAGTGAGGTACTCGAGACAATAGAACACCATGTGAGTGATGTTCTGGACACAATAGAACACCATGTGAGTGATGTACTGGAGACAATAGAACAATATGTGAGTGAGGTTCTGGGGACAATAGAACACTATGTGAGTGATGTACTTGAGTCAGAAGAACACTATGTGAGTGAAGTACTGGAGACAATAGCACCATGTGAGTGATGTACTGGAGACAATAGCACCATGTTAGTGATGTACTGGAGACAATAGAACACTATGTTAGTGAGGTACTGGAGACAATAGAACACTATGTTAGTGAGGTACTGGAGACAATAAAACACCATGTGAGTGATGTACTGGAGGATATAGAACACCATGTGGGTGATGTACTGGAGGATATAGAACACCATGTGGGTGATGAACTGGAGGATATAGAACACAATATGAGTGAAGAATACTCATGTCTATATTGTAATCTAAGCATATTAGGACAGAGACAACTATACTTATGAGTTCTGGTCACTGCTATGTTATGTACAGGAGGACAGAGACAACTATACTTATGAGGTCTGGTCACTGCTATGTTATGTACAGGAGGACAGAGACAACTATACTTATGAGGTCTGGTCACTGCTATGTTATGTACAGGAGGACAGAGACAACTATACTTATGAGGTCTGGTCACTGCTATGTTATGTACAGGAGGACAGAGACAACTGAGGTCTATGCTATGTTATATACAGGAGGACAGAGACAACTATACTTATGAGGTCTGGTCACTGCTATGTTATGCTATGACAATATACTTATGAGGTCTGGTCACTGCTATGTTATGTACAGGAGGACAGAGACAACTATACTTATGAGGTCTGGTCACTGCTATGTTATGTACAGGAGGACAGAGACAACTATACTTATGAGGTCTGGTCACTGGTATGTTATGTACAGGAGGACAGAGACAACTATACTATGTACAGGAGGACAGTGAACAGTAAGAGCTAAGACGTCATGAAGGAAGCTAGACTTACCACTCCCTTCTTCTTCGTGAAGGCTGAGATGACTCCGAAGAGGCCAGGCAGGATGTACTGAAAGAGTAAAACACGATGCCAGGATGTAGTGAGTTACGACATGATTTCGGGATGTACTGAAACAGTAGAACTTGGTGTCAGGATATCCTAAGCATCAGATAGTATGACGAATTAGAAAATAAAACAGAAGTTCGCCAGAATGTCGGGGTCTTTTTCTTCTACACAGTAGTTTGTGACTGGGTGAAACTTACGGCAAAGCCAACAGCCCATAGCATCATAAATCCATGATGTCTACGGTGGTGCTCGTGATGATGAGCATGTCCTGGTCGGTGGCGATGTTCATGTTCTTCGCTGTCCATGCGGAAATCGTCTCTCTCACGTTCTGGAACTTCAAGTCCATCGTTGCCGAAAGGTCGCTCCCAGTTTCCAAACAACTTTTCCACCTTGTGGACGCCCACGCTGACCACGATGCACAGGATGATCCCTGGAGTAGAACGTGGGTTACACAACAGATACTGGTGGTCAGATCTACACATCTACCTGGCTTCATAACTCATGATCCCCGGAATAGAACGTGGGTTACACAACACATACTGGTGGTCAGATCTACACATCTACCTGGCTTCATAACTCATGATCCCCGGAATAGAACGTGGGTTACACAACGCATACTGGTGGTCAGATCTACATATCTACCTGGCTTCATAACTCATGATCCCTGGAGTAGAACGTGGGTTACACAACACATACTGGTGGTCAGATCTACACATCTACCTGGCTTCATAACTCATGATCCCTGGAGTAGAACGTGGGTTACACAACACATACTGGTGGCCAGATCTACATATCTACCTGGCTTCATAACTCATGATCCCCGGAATAGAACGTGGGTTACACAACAGATACTGGTGGTCAGATCTACACATCTACCTGGCTTCATAACTCATGATCCCTGGAATAGAACGTGGGTTACACAACAGATACTGGTGGTCAGATCTACATATCTACCTGGCTTCATAACTCATGATCCCCGGAATAGAACGTGGGTTACACAACAGATACTGGTGGTCAGATCTACACATCTACCTGGCTTCATAACTCATGATCCCCGGAATAGAACGTGGGTTACACAACAGATACTGGTGGTCAGATCTACACATCTACCTGGCTTCATAACTCATGATCCCCGGAATAGAACGTGGGTTACACAACGCATACTGGTGGTCAGATCTACATATCTACCTGGCTTCATAACTCATGATCCCTGGAGTAGAACGTGGGTTACACAACAGATACTGGTGGTCAGATCTACACATCTACCTGGCTTCATAACTCATGATCCCCGGAATAGAACGTGGGTTACACAACAGATACTGGTGGTCAGATCTACATATCTACCTGGCTTCATAACTCATGATCCCCGGAATAGAACGTGGGTTACACAACAGATACTGGTGGTCAGATCTACACACATCTACCTGGCTTCATAACTCATGATCCCTGGAATAGAACGTGGGTTACACAACAGATACTGGTGGTCAGATCTACATATCTACCTGGCTTCATAACTCATGATCCCTGGAATAGAACGTGGGTTACACAACAGATACTGGTGGTCAGATCTACACATCTACCTGGCTTCATAACTCATGATCCCCGGAATAGAACGTGGGTTACACAACAGATACTGGTGGTCAGATCTACACATCTACCTGGCTTCATAACTCATGATCCCCGGAATAGAACGTGGGTTACACAACGCATACTGGTGGTCAGATCTACATATCTACCTGGCTTCATAACTCATGATCCCTGGAGTAGAACGTGGGTTACACAACACATACTGGTGGTCAGATCTACACATCTACCTGGCTTCATAACTCATGATCCCCGGAATAGAACGTGGGTTACACAACACATACTGGTGGTCAGATCTACACATCTACCTGGCTTCATAACTCATGATCCCCGGAATAGAACGTGGGTTACACAACAGATACTGGTGGTCAGATCTACATATCTACCTGGCTTCATAACTCATGATCCCCGGAATAGAACGTGGGTTACACAACAGATACTGGTGGTCAGATCTACACATCTACCTGGCTTCATAACTCATGATCCCTGGAGTAGAACGTGGGTTACACAACGCATACTGGTGGTCAGATCTACATATCTACCTGGCTTCATAACTCATGATCCCTGGAGTAGAACGTGGGTTACACAACACATACTGGTGGTCAGATCTACATATCTACCTGGCTTCATAACTCATGATCCCTGGAGTAGAACGTGGGTTACACAACGCATACTGGTGGTCAGATCTACATATCTACCTGGCTTCATAACTCATGATCCCTGGAGTAGAACGTGGGTTACACAACACATACTGGTGGTCAGATCTACATATCTACCTGGCTTCATAACTCATGATCCCTGGAGTAGAACGTGGGTTACACAACACATACTGGTGGCCAGATCTACATATCTACCTGGCTTCATAACTCATGATCCCTGGAGTAGAACGTGGGTTACACAACACATACTGGTGGCCAGATCTACATATCTACCTGGCTTCATAACTCATGATCCCTGGAGTAGAACGTGGGTTACACAACGCATACTGGTGGTCAGATCTACATATCTACCTGGCTTCATAACTCATGATCCCTGGAGTAGAACGTGGGTTACACAACGCATACTGGTGGTCAGATCTACATATCTACCTGGCTTCATAACTCATGATCCCTGGAGTAGAACGTGGGTTACACAACGCATACTGGTGGTCAGATCTACATATCTACCTGGCTTCATAACTCATGATCCCTGGAGTAGAACGTGGGTTACACAACGCATACTGGTGGTCAGATCTACATATCTACCTGGCTTCATACCTGGAGTAGAACGTGGGTTACACAACACATACTGGTGGTCAGATCTACATATCTACCTGGCTTCATAACTCATGATCCCTGGAGTAGAACGTGGGTTACACAACACATACTGGTGGCCAGATCTACATATCTACCTGGCTTCATAACTCATGATCCCTGGAGTAGAACGTGGGTTACACAACACATACTGGTGGCCAGATCTACATATCTACCTGGCTTCATACACGGTACCTTCAGGGCTAACATTTTGGTGGTCTTCGATAAAACCTGTATCAATTCTCGCGGTTCTTGAATTCTCAAATTACCCGCATTTTACTTTCTTTGGCATTTTCCCGACTGATCAAACACCGACATCAGGGAAGGTAACTCGTATTGACTAGATACCAAAACCATCGCTAGTTTCAATTAACATTAAAATTTCCTTTCCATCAAAATATTTTAGAGATTTCTGTTTGTTAGTCAGATAGTTATTTCTAGTCTGAATTTCTCTCAAACTCGGTTATAATCAGTGGCACTTGTTACTGGTATTGCCAACTATACATTGAAACGGGTTTGTAACTCGCATTCTGATTGGTTCAGCAGACCTAGTAGCTTAGCCAATCAAACTGGCAACTACAAATTAAGGGAATGTCCCATAGATACACAGCAAGTTGTTAATTATTGTAACACATGGCAAAACAACAACTGTATAACGATGGCCTATAACCTGGCCAGACATACACGCGAGTCATAAGCATCGATCAGAGCCGTTGAGTCGATCCAAGTCTAACCATTAAATGGTTTCTAACGACCATCATCGGTTACCCGGCACTAATTGTAACCAACATTCCCATGGGGCGTAGCCGTTGTATTTTCTAGATGTGGCTTAAGGCTCCAATCGAGGGAACCCGTAAACGGAAGATATATTAACAAATATTGCTTTTTCGCAAAACGCATGCTAATAACTAAATAAGAGGATGACTACCATTCTTATTAACTCAAGACACAAACAGTATACATAGATAGCGGCATAAATCCTCAATAACCTCAAACACCACCCATATGATATTCACGGTTCGCAAATACTCATGTCCATCAAAACGTCAATTATAAGTTCAATTATGAAAAAGTAACACGTTTTACTTCCGTTTTGCTGCTAAGTGGATTATTTAAATAATGTGTGTTCAGTGATTCACTGAAAACAAATAAACACCTTCCTGGCCCTACTATTGCGGAGTTGATGTGTTATATATAGTATTTAGTCATTCACAAACAGCAAATCACTAGTCCTGCACATCAGTGCATTCACATGTGCTATATTGTATGCATACACTGAAGTCTGTTTATAAGCTATGAATACCCTAGGTCTGTCTATATTCTATGAATACACTCAGGTCTGTCTATAAACTATGAATACATCTAGATCTGTATAATCTATGAATATACCTAGCTCTGTCTTTAAGCTATGAATACACCCAGGTCTGTCTATAAGCTATGAATACACTCAGGTCTGTCTATAAGCTATGAATACACCCAGGTCTGCCTATAAGCTATGAATACACTCAGGTCTGTCTATAAGCTATGAATACACTCAGGTCTGTCTGTAAGCTATGAATACACCCCTAGGTCCTGTTTATAAGCTATGAATACACTCAGTCTGTCTATAAGCTATGAATACACCCAGGTCTGTCTATAAGCTATGAATACACCCAGGTCTGTCTATAAGCTATGAATACACCTAGGTCTGTCTATAAGCTATGAATACACCCAGGTCTGTCTATAAGCTATGAATACACTCAGGTCTGTCTATAAGCTATGAATACACTCAGGTCTGTCTATAAGCTATGAATACACTCAGGCTTGTCTATAAGCTATGAATACACTCAGGTCTGTCTATAAGCTATGAATACACCTAGGCCTGTCTATAAGCTATGAATACACCTAGGTCTGTCTATAAGCTATGAATACACCCAGGTCTGTCTATAAGCTATGAATACACCCAGGTCTGTCTATAAGCTATGAATACACTCAGGTCTGTCTATAAGCTATGAACACACTCAGGTCTGTCTATAAGCTATGAATACACCCAGGTCTGTCTATAAGCTATGAATACACTCAGGTCTGTCTATAAGCTATGAATACACTCAGGTCTGTCTATAAGCTATGAATACACTCAGTCCTGTCTATAAGCTATGAATACACTCAGGTCTGTCTATAAAACATGAATACACCTAGGTCTGTCTATAAGCTATGAATACACTCAGGTCTGTCTACAAGCTATGAATACACTCAGGTCTGTCTATAAACTATGAATACACCTAGATATGTATAATATATGAATATACCTAGCTCTGTCTTGAAGCTATGAATACACTCAGGCCTGTCTATAAGCTATGAATACACCCAGGTCTGTCTATAAGCTATGAATACACCTAGGTCTGTCTATAAGCTATGAATACACTCAGGTCTGTCTATAAGCTATGAATACACTCAGGTCTGTCTATCAGCTATGAATACACCCAGGTCTGTCTATAAGCTATGAATACACCCAGGTCTGTCTATAAGCTATGAATACACTCAGGTCTGTCTATAAGCTATGAATACACTCAGGCCTGTCTATAAGCTATGAATACACCTAGGCCTGTCTATAATCTATGAATACACCTAGGTCTGTCAATATTCTATGAATACACTCAGGTCAGTTTATAAACTATGAATACATCTAGATCTGTCTATAAGCTATGAATACACACAGGTCTGTCTATAAGCTATGAATACACCTAGGTCTGTCTATAAGCTATGAATACACCCAGGTCTGTCTATAAGCTATGAATACACTCAGGTCTGTCTATAAGCTATGAATACACCTAGGTCTGTCTATAAGCTATGAATACACCTAGGTCTGTCTATAAGCTATGAATACACCCAGGTCTGTCTATAAGCTATGAATACACCCAGATCTGTCTATAAGCTATGAATACACTCAGGACTGTCTATAAGCTATTAATACACCTAGGTATGTCTATAAGCTATTAATACACCTAGGTCTGTCTATATTCTATGAATACACTCAGGTCTGTCTATAAGCTATGAATACACCTAGGTTGTCTATAAGCTATGAATACACCCAGGTCTGTCTATAAGCTATGAATACACTCAGGTCTGTCTATAAGCTATGAATACACCCAGGTCTGTCTATAAGCTATGAATACACTCAGGTCTGTCTATAAGCTATGAATACACCTAGGTCTGTCTGTAAGCTATGAATACACCTAGGTCTGTCTATAAGCTATGAATACACTCTGTCTATAGGTCTGTCTATGTCTATAAGCTATGAATACACTCAGGTCTGTCTATAAGCTATGAATACACCTAGGTCTGTCTATAAGCTATGAATACAATCAGTTCTGTCTATTAGCTATGAATACACTCAGGACTGTCTATAAGCTATGAACACACCCAGATCTCTCTATAAGCTATGAATACACCTAGGTCTGTCTATAAGCTATGAATACACTCAGGACTGTCTATAAGCCATTAATACACCCAGGTCTGTCTATAAGCTATGAATACACTCAGGTCTGTCTATAAGCTATGAATACACTCAGGCCTGTCTATAAGCTATGAATACATTCAGGCCTGTCTATAAGCTATGAATACACTCAGGTCTAACTATAAGCTATGAATACACTCAGGTCTGTCAATAAGATATGAATACACCCAGGTCTGTCTATAAGCTATGAATACACTCAGGTCTGTCTATAAGCTATGAATACACTCAGGTCTGTCTATAAGATATGAATACACCCAGGTCTGTCTATCATCTATAAATACACCTAGGTCTGTCTATAAGCTATGAATACACTCAGGCCTGTCTATAAGCTATGAATACACTCAGGCCTGTCTATAAGCTATGAATACACTCCTAGGCCTGTCTATAAGCTATGAATACACTCAGGCCTGTCTATAAGCTATGAATACACCCAGGTCTGTCTATAAGCTATGAATACACCCAGGTCTGTCTATAAGCTATGAATACACACAGGTCTGTCTATAAGCTATGACTACACTCAGGCCTGTCTATAAGCTATGAATACACTCAGGCCTGTCTATAAGCTATGAATACAACCAGGTCTGTCTATAAGCTATGAATACACTCAGGTCTGTCTATAAGCTATGAATACACTCAGGTCTGTCTATAAGCTATGAATACACTCAGGTCTGTCTATAAGCTATGAATACACCCAGGTCTGTCTATAAGCTATGAATACACCCAGGTCTGTCTATAAGCTATGAATACACCCAGGTCTGTCTATAAGCTATGAATATACTCAGGCCTGTCTATAAGCTATGACTACACCCAGGCCTGTCTATAAGCTATGAATACACTCAGGCCTGTCTATAAGCTATGAATACACCCAGGCCTGTCTATAAGCTATGAATACACCTAGGCCTGTCTATAAGCTATGAATACACCTAGGCCTGTCTATAAGCTATGAATATACTCAGGCCTGTCTATAAGCTATGAATACACCTAGGCCTGTCTATAAGCTATGACTACACTCAGGCCTGTCTATAAGCTATGAATACACCTAGGCCTGTCTATAAGCTATGAATACACTCAGGCCTGTCTATAAGCTATGAATACACCTAGGCCTGTCTATAAGCTATGAATACACCTAGGGCTGGTTGTGGTGTGACACTGCCGGTATGTTTTCCACCGCAGGACAGCGGTTTGACTGGGTTCGGTTCCGCCTGACTGGTTTTGCCCATTGAACACGGTAACCTTAGTCAGAAACTGACCTAAATAACACATCCCTTTCACGTGATCACGAATCACAAGACTCCTCGTCATGCCTTAAAACATTGTGGTAATTATGCTTTAAAACGCTACTCATGTACCTAACCACCCCGTCTCATAATAGTGATATATATATATCGATCTCTTCGGATTTAACCAACCGATTCTGGTCCGATTTGCATGAATAAAAGCAACAAAACTATTACCACAGTCAGAGAAAATATTTGGTAAAAGCAAAGAACATTGTATACTTTCGGCTACAACACAGGCATAAAAAAATGTCAATGACTTCGGAGAAAATTGTTTGATGAGTCAGAGATTGCAAAGGGGATTAAATCGAACTGCGACCATTTTGATACTATGAATATTTAAAGGTGTATACTAGTTCCCATAGAGAGGACTATCAATGAATTTAACTCAAGGTGAACTAGGTTCAAACTGAAAGAATTCTTTTATGGTAGTTCGTGTCCATGTAACGACCACTCATTCCAGAAAGATCGGAAAAAGATAATCTGTCGCGGGTATATTTGTGTAAAAATAAAATGGTTTATTGAAGGCTGAAAAAAATTTAAACCTTTTTTTAAGTCTTTCTTCAAGTATTATAAAAATAAAAACACGTGGACGTGTCTTTGAGTGGTAACCAAGACCCAGCTCTGGGTATAATATCGCTAACTGAAAGTGAAAACAGACTATGCACACCACTTACAGTTTGTTTTTGTTTGTTTTTCATTTCTTTTTTTTCTTTTTGGTGATTAAAAGCATCAAAAGACATTTCATAAAAACAAGTTTCTGCTAAAATCAGAATTCACTCTTCGCCAGGAGGATTTGAGCCATGTAGACTTCAAGTAACAACGAATTTAAGAGCCTGCGTCTATCACTTCCCAACGCACCATTATACAACCCCTCCAGTGTGGCCCGGTTCAATGTGTAAATGTCAATCGATGCACACTCACACACGTCCAGGTAAACAAACTCATGTCAACATGTTCCCTAGGTATTGAGGTCGATATCCTTATTATACTGTTATCAGTGTTTAGTCTAAATACTCACCAGCAATTAAAACAATTCCTGAGATTACCCCGTGAGCGATGTTGTGTCCGTTCTTCGCCATGGTTGAAAACTGCAATGTCACTGTTTCTCGCCTGTCAGGAGAAGCTGACAAGAAGTGCTCGGGTACCTGAGTAATAGCTATATATAACGGATAGGTACAGCCTCGCTGTCAGCGGCGGACTTACAAAGGAACAGCCTGGCGCAGTCGATATTCATGCAAATAGCTGTGCGTGACGTAAGCACTCGTTGAATGAGGACAATGCTGGGCTTATATTCTATACATGAATCGTGACAGCTTCGTGATCTACCTGCCAATTGTACCCGTGAAGATCTGGGTTAGAGGTTCAGCAACCCATGCATGTGGAAAGGTGGCGGAATCGCTGTCTTGGTTGACACATGTCTTCAAATCCCAACTAAGTAGATCTGAGTGCGGCGTAAACTCACTACGGGGCCATGCGTCTCCATTCCATTCTGAATTCGACAACCGACGGCGGCGATAATGTTTTGTACAAAAGAATATGCTTGACCTAATTGTCCCTGTTTTGGTACCAAACATGGCTGTGACCTTTCCTAACCTTTTGTCGGGTTTGTGTTTGTTGTTTTACGCCGCACTCAGCAATATTCCGCCTATATGGCGGCAGTCTGTAAACAATCGAGTCTGGACCAGACAATCCCGTGACCAACAGCATGAGCATCGATCTGCGCAATTGGTCACCGATGATTTGTGTCAGCCAAGCCAGTGAGCCTGACCACCCGATCCCGTTAGTCGCCTCTTACGGCAAGTATGGGTTACTGAAGGTTCATTCTAACCCGGTCCTTCACGGGTTCAAGGCCCTGTAACTCACCTTATTTATAAAGTTATACGTGCAAGGCGCTTTAACCTTAATTTGGTGCAAATGGTTGAAAGTACTGCGAGGTAAAGAAAACATATTGCTACATCTTTAAAGATTGAAAAGTTTAGTGCCAATAGGTATACTTTGAACAAACTTGGATCCCCTTGTCATTTTTCATTCACACAAAGTTACAAGAGGTAAAAGAGAAAGTTTAATATTTTGAATACCTGAAAAACTGTGTACAACAGAAACCAACACTGACAGGAACAAGATCAGATGTCTGCATAGTAAGGAACCTGCATGCCGGATTTCAGCTTCATCAGTGACGCAGTACCAAAGCTGCAAAGTGAGTGAGTTTAATTTTACGCCGCTTCTAGCAATATTTCAGCAACATCAAGGCGAGGAACACCAGAAATGGGCTCCACACATTGTACCCATGTGGGGAATCGAACCCGGGTCTTCGGCGTGACGAGCGATGCTTTATCCACAAGGCAACCCCACCGCCCTGCTGACAATGAACTGATGAATGCATTTGCAAATATCAATGGCATATCCATCAGCAGCTTGTTCCAGCAGGAGACATGATTGTGGAACCATACTGTGTTGTAGTCACTGGCCGTGGATTGGATGGAGTGTTTTTACACTTTCCAGGGATGTTACCGAGGGGCATTACAAACCGAAGGAAAGGCGTTATCCAATGTTTAAACTGACCTTTACTCAACCATGTGGGGAATCGAACCCGGGTCTTCGGCTTGACGAGCGAACGCTTTTACCACTAGGCTACCCCGCCGCCCCAGACGGATAACGACAAGGTTGTATGTTGACAGTGTCTGAGGTTCATGAGACAAGGCTGTATGCTGACAGTGTCTGAGGTTCATGAGACAAGACTGTATGCTGACAGTGTCTGAGGTTCATGAGACAAGGCTGTATGTTGACAGTGTCTGAGGCTCAGGAGAGAAGACTGTATGCTGACAGTGTCTGATGTTCATGAGACAAGGCTGTATGTTGACAGTGTCTGAGGTTCAGGAGACAAGGTTGTATGTTGACAGTGTCTGAGGCTCATGAGGCAAGGTTGTATGTTGACAGTGTCTGAGGTTCAGGAGACAAGGTTGTATGTTGATGCTGACAGTGACAGTGTCTGAGGTTCATGAGACAAGGCTGTATGTTGACAGTGTCTGAGGTTCATGAGACAAGGCTGTATGCTGACAGTGTCTGAGGTTCATGAGACAAGGCTGTATGCGGACAGTGTTTGAGGTTCAGGAGACAAGGCTGTATGCGGACAGTGTCTGAGGTTCATGAGACAAGGCTGTATGCTGACAGTGTCTGAGGTTCATGAGACAAGGCTGTATGCGGACAGTGTCTGAGGTTCATGAGACAAGGCTGTATGCGGACAGTGTCTGAGGTTCATGAGACAAGGCTGTATGCTGACAGTGTCTGAGGTTCATGAGACAAGGCTGTATGCTGACAGTGTCTGAAGTTCATGAGACAAGGCTGTATGCTGACAGTGTTTGAGGTTCATGAGACAAGACTGTATGTTGACAGTGTCTTAGGTTCATGAGACAAGGCTGTATGCTGACAGTGTCTAAGGTTCATGAGACAAGGCTGTATGCTGACAGTGTCTGAGGTTCAGGAGACAACACTGTATGTTGACAGTGTCTGAGGTTCAGGAGACAAGACTGTGTATTGTTCCCGGGTGAGTTCAGGTTTTATCTAGACAGCAGTGATGGTCGCGCATGGATCTCCAGGTGCCCAGGAGAAGGCTTGAGTGACACTTGCGTTGCTTGTCACTTTTGGTGTGGATGTGTTATGTTTAATATCGGCATCAACTAATCAATGTTAATGGCAATTGGAATGATATGCCACCGGAACGACATCGTCCAAGGTCATGTTTCGCTCTTTGTGCACATGCCAGGACAAAACGTCACGTTGCAACAAAATACTGCCTCTCCAGTTGTTTCAGTGCTGCAAGACTTTCGTGGCAGCATAGCTTTGATCTTCTGCCAAGATCCATCCCCAAACTTAATGTCTGGGATGCAATGGAGCTACGCATACGACAGGACCAGAACCAGCCGCATACGCTAGCTCAGTTGTGCCAAAGTTCTGATGACATTTTGGGCAACAAACCCCATGTATCCCATGTGTTTCGGCTGTTTCAAAGCAAATGGTGGTCACACCCGACACTGACACTCGTGTTGTTACACCGCCACCCTTTCAGGACAAGTTATCTGTTTCCTGTTGCCTGGTATAGATTGTGTTGATGCATTTATTATAACTAAAGTTGATATACATAAACAATGACAAAGTACAATGTTAGTTTCAATATCAAAACATTTTCACCACTTTACAGGAAGCAGACTGACCTATTTTCCGTTAGTAAATCATTGTAAGCAATCTCCTGTATATTATCCTTATGTGCAAGCTGACATGTTGTGCCATTGGTAAACACGTGTACAGTAGGTACAATTGCAAAACAGTATGTATGTCCCACTAATCGACCTGTGACGTCATGCCTTTGTTCCTGAGCAGCATGTCACGTCGTAAAGATCGTATTTCCAACTCCACGAGGCAGTATGCAAGCGTGGCGGTGTCATGGTGAAAACATCTACCTACTTGAAACTTACATCTATGTAAATGATTCTTTTACCTCACTTTATGATGCAAGCCTTGTTATTGAAGAAGTTGGTAGGTGGCACCAATAGGCTTCCATAGGACAGTCAAATCATTAATTGTTCTTAAAACAATACTTTATTTTATCACATGAATGAAAGCTTGGAAGCAGAGTGCTTACTTATATACAACTAAAGTGACAAGATAACATAGATGGATACTTAACATAGGAAGCCATTTATGGTCCCGAAATCGGTAATAGCAATGCACAAAGGAGTAAAAATAGTACTGATAGGAACTATTGTTAAACGGGGCGGTGGGGTAGCCTAGTGGGTAATGCGTTCGCTCGTCACGCGGAAGATCCAGGTTCGATTTCCTACAGAGGTACAGTGTGTGAAGACCATTTCTAGTGGCCCCCGTTGTGATATTGCTGAAATATTGCTAAAACGACGTAAAACCAAACTATTTATAAACGGTTCAAACATACACCATGCCTTCTGCCTTCTACCGGTAAGCTGCTCCAATGTACTGCATATGTCCAAAAACGTACATATTCATGTCATCTTTAAAGATTCTGATGAGTAAAGGTCAGTTTATACATTGGATAACGTCTTTTCTTCGGTTTCTGAAGCCCCTCGGTTACAGCACTAAAAAGTTTGAGAACACTCCATTCAATCCTAGGCCAGCAAGTATAACTCTGTTCTCCGTCTGCAACAAGCTGCCGCTGGATGTGCCAATATGTGCAAATACATTCATCAGTTCATTGTCAGCAGTCATTGAAAAAAATGCGACAAATCTGACTTTCAAAGTCTTGCAGGACCCCTTCTGGCTCAAGCCCTTTCGCCTAATTTAAGCGTGTTCCTACATCCCATAAGGACATTGTCGATCACGTGTCGCCTCTACACATTCAGTCCCAGCCTGCTATCATGACTTTAAGTTAGGTTCCCCTTCCACTTGAAAGGACGAGTGAGATGGCGTCATTACATCATCCCGGCTGGCCCATAAGATGAGCACTGGCCTCCCGTAAAACTAAAGCCAAAACACTGCTTTGGAAAACCATTTTATTTATTTTCTAAAAACATTTAACAGAGCGAGCAAAAGAAAGGTAATTAGAATATACAAGTAAAAGTCGGAGAAAAAGACCAAAAAAGGTTGACAACAGGGCGTGTAGTTTTCAGCGAGATAATAGGGGAGACATGCTGCCCTGGTTGATAGGGCTGGGGGGCGCCCAACTGAACAAGGGAGTAATTTGAGATTCTAAAGAAACAGTTAATCATACCTCTGGCATGTAAACACAAAGCCTCTGGACTAGCATGTCCATGAACCTAGGACAAGGTCGATGACAATCTGTATTTAGGTACATTATCCAAACAGGGCTATAAACGGATAAGCAACAAGGTAGAGATGTTAATGCACAGCTATAGGCAAGACACGAAGTTTAAGTGCTTCCTTATTGGACCTGTTCATAAGTGCATCCTCCAGTTCCAATAAAGTCGACATCACCTACTTGTGTATGGTGTAATGTTAAAGGTAATAATGTCGTGTTGACATATTAAGTTTTGTTGTTTAAGGCCACATTCGGTACTGTTACACAGGCAAGGTATGTTGTAATTTACAGGACTGTTGGACCACTCTGAGTTAGCCATTATCACCTGGCCTGGATATACTGTAAGACATGCAACCAGCATAGTGACCCCTGGGGTAAAACTGTCTTTGCAAGGGGGAAGGATTCAAAGGAGGAGGATTCACATAGGGGCATGATTGGAAGTACAAAAACTTGAGGATAAAGAAACTAATATCTACACAACACATAATGAAAAAAGCACTTAACTCAATAGTACAACCAACGTTAAAATGACCTTTGTAAATATTCACATGGCTAAAATAAACAGCAGGATACATATTGGTCTCTACATTATGCAGACAGGCAAGGACAAATGCATGCTGACAGAAGCAGGAAAAGGAACACAGAAAAAACTGAAGTTAAATCTCACAAAAACTTTTAATGTCAAAAAATATAAGTCACTGGGTGAATTCTTGTGGACTATTCCCATGTTTGGGGCTTTCTAGCCATTCCTTTTTTGCAGGAATACTTGATAGCTTACAATAACACTGACAAGAACCAAGATAGCTTCCTGGCATAATTGATTTCTTGATCTATGAATCACTTTGTGATTTTATTGGTGAAACATTACAATATGAAAAGATCCTTTGAACTATGAAATCACTTAGTGATTTTTTTTAAACATGGTGCAGTATGAAAAGGACAACAGTAAATGCTGCAGACTGAGTTGAGACCTCTGTCAGCACAATGTCTAGTACTCCATGTTGTAGACCAGCTTGGCGTTGTCTTGAGTGGGAGGGGGTTGGTACTGGACGTGTGGGTGAGCAACTTCCATCCCCGTAATGCGGCTGCTGTGAACCACGGTGGTCGTCACGGGTGTCCTCTGGATGATCACTCCACCAGCAGGCTGAAGAAAACAAGATTATTCTAGGATCTTGAATACTGTTAAAATTCAGAATATCAACAGGAGTCACCAAGTCAGACAAAGCAAGATCTTAGTTATTATATATTAATCATAAACAATTGTACTATTGGATGTTACAGTCAAAAAAGAGTAATTAAAGGATACAGGATTATAGCAACAAGGAACAACCCAAGCCATCGCACAAACAATGCGTACAGATAAAACAAAGACAGCCCAATACAATTTAGTGATAAATTAGCATACCTAGCCCTGGACCAACAATATCAGACTGTTAAGCAAGTCAGGTGTAACTTCCAAGAAAAAAAATGGTATGTTGTGTGGTAAATCAAATCTGGTGAAGACTTGTTTAGCTGCTTCTTAAAACAATTGCTGAGTGATTTGGCTAACCTCATGTCTGCAGGCCAGGATCCCGGACAGGATGGTGCTGACAAGGGTGAGGATCCAAGCAAAGACCAGCACCAGGATGATGACAACGACCATGGCATAGAGGCTCTTGATGTCATCACAGGACATGTCAATTGGGGATGGAGTAGAGAAGTCATCAGGTCTGTAATAGAAAATAATACACATCAGGGCATGGAGAATTTATTATGGAAGTGGTTTTTAGAATACTGAATAAACGAATTGGTAAACGATTATAAAAATCAGTTGTTAGACATACTTGGTTGATGTTTTTAACAGTGTTGCAAAATTATTCAATGAGAGTTAAGTCACAAAATATCTGAACTGTTCAGCTCCTTGTCACATGAGTTAAAGCAGCGACATTAGTCTCAGGTCTCTTGTAAAAATGGATCGTTATGGCAATGACCATATTCTTTCAAAACAAACTTTTTCACAATGGGTGAAGATACTCAGTATGTCAAAGTGTGTAGTACTTGAAGAATGTGTTCCCTTACATTCCATCCTAGTCTGTCTCACAGTCCCTGAACCACATTATGTTCCCTACAGCCTAGCCCTCCCTCCCTAAATGAACCAAGTCTAGATTTCCCCAGGTCCTCAATCTCCCAGCTCACCGAGGCTCTTTTCAATTTAAAACAGGTTTATTTGTTACTATTAAAAATAAATAAATATATATATATATATATTAAAAAGAGGAAAAATGAGCCGGGGTCTTCAGGACCGCAGGTTTAGACGATTCACACGAATGACCCAGCGCGATCAAACCTACGGATCCTGGGAAAAAATCATGCGTGTACTCAGGGACTAAACATTAGTCTAATTCCATCCATCCATCCATCCATCTATCCGCCTAGTGACTTACGAGCACACACACTTCTCCCCAAGGGGGGTACACTGACTGGGATGAGAGACAGCCAGTCCTGCCATGGCCAAGATTCCCACGATGAAGAAGATTCCCATCACGACTAGGGTGATGATGCTGAACACCATGTGGGTGATGTACTGAAGGACAGAGGACATTACATCAGCATTATGTGAGTGAGAGAATGAGTGAGTATAGTTTTAGACCGCTTTCAGCAATATTCCAGCAATATCGCGGCCGGGGGGACACCAGAAATGGGCTTCACACATTCTACCCATGTGGGGAATCGGCATTCCGTGTCTTCGGCATGACAAGCGAATGCTTTAACCACTAGGCTACCCCACCGCCCCTTGTACTGGACGACGGAGCATGACAACGCGAGTGTGATGTTCTGGAGGACATGATGTATTTGAGGACATAACATGAAACAACATGTACTTTGGTGGTATTTCATCCATGCAGTGACCAGAGAGACGGCAAGTTTTTCTAAATGAACAAATTTATATATTGCACATGTCATCAGCGGGTTTCAAACCTGTCCACTCAAAATATTTAACTGCTTGGCTAAGGCTTGAAGAGCAGTAGAACACTACTAAAAAGAAGCATAGAACACAATCGGGACCACATACCGCTGCCTTCTTTTGGATGAAAGCCGAGAGGCAACCGATCAGCCCAGGAACAATGTACTGAAACAGTGGGAAACCCTGGTAACAGTAATGTCTTAAAAGTGATTTAATAAAGACATACAAACACTTGAACAACAGCCAACACACTACAATATACTGGAAGTTCCAGTTAAAAGCACAGGACACAAGAGTTAAGTGTTTATCACTTGTGCAGCTCCACAAAACCTTTTCCATATTCATAAAATCATTATAAAATGCAGAGTTCATTGTGTCCAGTTAAGTCTTCTGCATGTTTCCTTCCCTCCTCCCTCCTAACTGTCACAAAATCTGCTATAAATAAATGAGGTATCGCGGTTACGTATTAAAGTTCATTTTGTTGGGTTTCTGAAAACTTACAGCAAATCCAAGGGACCATATAGGCGCATTAGCATAGCTGAACGAGTTGGTGTCAAGGTCGCTGCTGTGGAACTGGCTTCCGTAGTTGTCACCCATCTGCTTGTTGACTTCTTTCACTAAGAACTTCTCCGCCTTCATCAGCAGCACACTCAACACAACGCTGAGGATGATACCTGGGAACAGATAAGGGGGGCACTTGCCGATGGATGGTTGGAAGATACAAGATCCCTTGACAAACTGGACAAACCATATTCCATCTATATTTGACAACCAACAGTGCATACAGACAGCAATAAACAGCACATCCACAACCAATGACAAGAACCCACAACTAAACTGCGCATTCTAAACCTAAACAACAGCGACTAACCGGATCAGGTTGTCAGGTTCGCTGACTTGGCTGAAACATGTCATTGTATCCCAATTGCATAGATTGATGATCATGCTGTCAATCACTGGATTGTTTGGTCCAGACTCGATTATTTGCAGACCTCAGCCATATAGCTGGAATATTGTAGAGTACAGCATAAAACTAATTTCACCACATATCTGTCTTGTAAATTCGCATGCTGCATTATATTTATATCTCATTTTATATAACATCTAAAAAGGCACAGTTATCTAGTGTATTCTGAACTTCAATAACATTATTCATTTAAATGAATTGTGAGAAATAAATACTATTCAGTATTCTGTTCTAATTCTCTTTGCCTGCAATATGGTGTAAAACCTAAGTGTACAGTAGATTTACTGATCCCCTAAAGCAGGACAACCATGCACATCCGTCGGACACAGTAACTACCTCCCTCCCCATCCTGCGAACAAACATCACGGCTACGTCACTCTAGTCAGCGGTTAACCAACAGACATTTCCTGGGTCGCCGTGACCGAACGGCAGTGTGAACTGTTTCAACGATATAAGCTGGTATTTCAACACAAAACACCTCTCTATGCTCTAAAATAACTGAATCGCGCAACACTCAACCCTGCTGGGTCACGAAGGTTTCAGCGGGCTATCTTTAACACAGATCCGGGCTCAACCCGACAAATTGCAGAGTTGTGAACTGAGAACATGGTCTCGGGTGGTTTTACGGTCAATTCAGGGGAGAAAAAAACCCATAAACGTATAATCGTGGCTAGATTACACCAAAACTTTCACAACGAATTTGAAAGCTGTTTTCAATTTAAATGTATGAACCCATTTTATCTCTTTAAAACTGCCTTGGTTGGTTTAACCACCGCAATTGTGATATTCAGTTTCTGGGTGTACTGCACTTTACCGGGCGCACTTTTTCCATAGTTGATATCTGTAAAATATTTCGCATATTCCATGAAATGCCCTCGGTTGGGGTTTCTTGGAATTATCTCTTGAGCGTTTTGGTTTTGTTTTAATTTTGTTATCGAAAACAGATAGATCTAACAGGAATCACAGTCAAGTAACAGCGTTAAGTGGTATTCCAAGCGTACGTGACATGGCACACAGTGGAAACAACAAGCTCGCCCACCATTACAGTCACAGCCGAGAAGCCCGCAGCCTCCGCCACTGTGTTGACTTCCAGCCAGCACGCGGCCATCCACTGCCATGCCAGCTCCCATACACACGGTTCTTTAAATTCGCCAAAACAAAAAAGACATTCTTTCCTAATACTCACCGAAAACGAGCACAATTGCGGAGATAATTCCGGTTGCGTTGTTATGTCCTTTACTTGCCGCCATGGTGGAAAGTGGTAGCTTGAGCTCTAATCCTTATTGCGAAGTTCTCCAAGAAATGATGGCGATTTGAAGCGGGTTGCGCAGCTTTATGTAGCCCTAGTCAGTGGAGCTCCTCGCATCGACAGTGACTGGTGCGATGGTGAGGAGAGTTTATAAAGTCTGACCTGATTAGGGCGGGAAAGGGCGGCTTTTCCACGAAATTCAGTGAAATATGTTTGCCTCGAGCGTTACTCGGTTCAAAGCTTGATCAAAACATTCATTAAGACGTCACCTTCGCTGTTGGGGAGTATTCAAAACACGTGTTTACGCGGTCCAATCTGTGAATATGCAGAGTAATGGATATATGGCGACACGATTGTTTAATTTTTTTCTTTTGTCTAGAACATGTTACATAATCGCACGAAGCTATTTATAAGCCTGCCCGGGCAGTGTGTTCGAGCCCACACCCTGGGGGCAAGCCCCACCCCAATGAAAAATATATTTAAATTATGTGCTTTATTTCCTGCATGTTGGGACGTTGTGTGTTACACTGCATTGGTAACAAACACTGCACCATGGTGATTTATTTATTGCTAATTCATTTACGTCTTTCATTTAAGAAACAATGTTTACATAGGAAACGATAATTTTGCACTTTTTGGTGTTTACAGGTTCATTCGAAGTATGTGGATTTTATGTATTTTGCCATATCTTAACGCAAACCTTCCTGTCATTTTAAGGAAAATAAAGTAAGTATATTTTGTGAAACACTTACTGTAAAGGACTCTGCTAGTCTGAGTGAAATACTAGAGAATATAATTGTATGAAATTATTACCGATAGGTTTCATCGCTTTAATTGATATCTCAATGTCATAAGTCGGCATGGGGATGTCATGTTAATCTAAAATAGCCTTTCATTCTTCGCTGATCGCTGGGATCTGTTTTTCTATCTTATTTATCATATATTCTTTTGACTTAAACTTAGAGGAACACTTACGTGAAGAAAGAACAGGGTAATAACTCTGCGATTCTAAGAACCAATACCTTCAAACTCCGCTCATGCTTGGAGGTAATGTGGAGATAGACAATGGACTTTCTATTTTATTCTTTTCATCAGCAACCCAACCATAACCAACCGCCATGTTTAAATCTTAAATTAGTCTGAGTGAGTGCGTTTAGTTTTACGCCACACTCAGCAATATTCCAGCTATATGGCGGCGGTCAGTAAATAATCGAGTCTGCACCAGACAATCCATTGTTCAACAGCATGAGCATCGATCTGCGCAATTTGGAACCGATGACATGTGTCAACCAAGTCAGCGAGCCTGACCACCCGATCCCGTTAGTCGCCTCTTACGACAAGCATGGGTTAATGAAGATCAATATTCTAACCCGGACCTTCACGGGTCTTAAATTAGTCTGAAGATTCCCGCAGTCAACAGTTACACTACAATTTTTAATGTACTAGTAGCCTTATCTGATGTAATGATCGAATTACAACAAAATAGCCTTTTTCTTGGACACCATGTGTTTTTTGGTATGTCTTTGGCGACGTTGGTGAAAGACGAATTTGGTATGCTGGTTAACAGACATCTCACCTACAGACTGTAATTTTCTTTCAGGATATGAAAACATCTGGATTTATGAAACATAATTTGACGCCTTTTTTAACAGGTCTCTCTCGTGAGTGATTTACTGGTAATGTTACTTTTTTGAACAAACTTAATGGACAACAACTTCTTTTATTTCATGACTGCGACGTTTCGATACAGATTCTTGTACCGTCATTCCTGCTTGACAACGGTATAAGAATCTGTATCGAAACGTCGCACTCACGAAATAAAAGAAGTTGTTATCCATAAAGTTTGTCCTATATTGTACTCTCAACTTCTAAAATGCCACTCAAACAAATGTTACTTTTATCAGTTAAGGAATGAACAAGTTGCAAGGACTGCAGTCATTCCTCGTGCACCAAAATCATAACTTGCTTATACCACCAACAAAACCACTAATATAAACATATATATCCACGAATATTCTCTTTATGTTTTCCCTTTTTAAAAAATGTTTCACATGTATTAATATCCCAACAAACAAACGTGTTGACATTAACCAACCCGACCGGAAATTTAACGAGAGCAGATATTGCAACAGCGTTGAGACATGTCGAAGCGAGGTTATATGTGTTCATTCCGCGAAGCATAGGTAGTGAGCATGACGTAATATGTCGAAACATGTCCTGACCTGTGCCTTCATCCAGTTTCCGGTTATATTCGAGGACCAGCGTTGGTGTCATATAACAAAAATAGTGTATAAATCATTTATTACCTCATACCTGTTATTTATACCTTTAATTACATACCAGTGTTCCAATTCAATATTATGGTTTTATAATTGTATTTATAAAGTAATATGTCAGAGTGTTCTACTTAAAAACCGTGTGACAAACATCAGTCTTAAAGTAGAAGGTAAGGGACATAACTCCATACATACATACATCGCTTTCTGTGGATCAACTCGCTTTCAGGGCTGAGAAGAAACACACGAGTACATTTCCTGAGTGGATCCTCTTAGTATACACCTTCTTCCAAGCAACCTGGCAGTGGAGGAAATCAGATTCACACTTTAAACGAGTTCATCATAAATTGTGCTGGGCACGGTATAACTTCAAATCTCCCGTCGCGTCGTGTCACTTCCTGGTTGATGAAATGATTCATTAAGTGGGGTGCACAAGGTTCAAGAACACAATTCCTTACCCTTCCCAGTGTCTCTAAATTTATAAAGTAGAATGTTCAGAATCTAAATGTAACAGTGTGTAAATAAATGTCATTTTAATGTGTTAAACTTCATTATTTTAAACTTAGGTATAAAACTTTATCATTACCAAACTGGCCTGTGTTAACACTAACACTTGCACTGTTTAACTAACTCACTGGTAAGCTAGCTTGGGGTCTATTGTTATGGTTAAGTGATCTGTGTCAGGTTCAATCTCTGCATTGGCCTGTTGTCAAGGTTCCTATTGTTTCATAAATTTCTCCTTCTCGTCATATTTAAAGCCTTCTACTGCCTTTCATTTGTGGCAGTATACATTTTTCTCCTTGAGACCACAATACCTGCACAGCACCAGCACATTATGGGGTAAGTTAAGTTAGATCTTTTAGTATTACATGTATAGTAGGGCTATTAGGATTTAGTGTATTAGAGTACATGTTTTAAGGAATAGTGTTTTATCATATTTAGTGTATGTAAGGTGTTTGTCTATAAATATATGCATGCTTAGTATTTTAGACCAATATATGATGTATTGTGTACCAGTACTCTAGTATACTGCCGTGAGTTTATTCGAACAGTAGGGTATTTTATACTACCATGATGCTGTAATTTGTACCATGCATATGTAGTATGTATAAGTATATGTATTAGCTATTTTATGATTGGCATGATACAGTAATGTGTATCATGCATGTTTATTATATGGTTTGGTTTCTATATGCATATTGATGTATGTATTAGGGTCAATAAGATAACTATTTATGTGTTCGCTAATGTCATTTATGATGTATATCTGTATATACTAGCAGTATACTTAGGCAATACTTTGTTTATTTAGGTTCACTGAGAATCAGATGTTTAATTAGCTGTTGGACTATTCTGCCTGCGTCCCTGAGACGAGGTGAGGTATTGTTTTCAGAATGTGATTGTAAATATTAGTAATTATAATTGTTATATATGTGAGTAATAATCAGAGTACATGTCTTTGCTTAAATCTGGATGATTGACAGTTATCAGGTGTATTAATAGTATAGTGGTAACCATATTGAATGTATAACATGATTTCATGACAAGAGACATGTATTAATTGATGGATATTTTATTATTCAGGGCGTTTTGTTATAGTTCAGTCAACTGGGGATCTCCTTATCCCACATCTCCAGCGCCGAATAAATCCCTGAAACCCCACACAAGTGTTCGTCATCACTGAACCAACATACAGTGTATACGCATACCTCTGTTACAATGGCATCCCTGGTGGGATTGGATTTCGGACTGGTATGAGGACATCCCGGGAATAACACCACCCTACGTTGGAACCCCATAAGTGTCATCTCATCATGCTATAGGTAATTGTGCTAGCCTATAGACACCATTGATAATTGCTTCAAGTGAAAAGTGACACTTTGTTTGTATGTGACTCATATGCCCATGTGATAACGATGCATACAGACTGTTGGATCCCCCTTGCCAGCTGATAAATTCGACATCTCATCATGTGTGAATTCATGGACTATATTATGGCACCATTTCTGATATTATCTGTGCTGTGTCACAGATTTGTATGTGTGCTACATCAGTATAACTGTGTGATCAGTATGGAAGACAGTGCCAGTTTGCAACTGGACATGTTACATCCTGTCATCCTGTTAGTTGAGTTTAGTTAGTTTAGTTTGCTAGCTAGCAAGTTAGTTAGTTAGTTTAGATGAGTAAACTGTTTAGTTAAGTTATTTTAGATCTGTAAACTGTTTAGTTAAGTTAGTTTAGATCTGTAAACTGTTTAGTTTAGTTAGTTTAGACCTGTAAACAGTTTAGCAAGTTAGTTTAGATCTGTTTAGTTAAGTTAGATACTGAATTAGATCTTGAGTGTTCAACTATTTAGTTAGTTAAGTGGCTACGGTTTAGTTATTTAACTTGGCATATACCGTAAAAGAATATATTGGCGAGTTACACTTAGTGTCTTAATTTATCCATAAATCAGATTGCATAAGTTGTTTAGCTAATTAGTTAGTACGTTTAGTTCAGCTCTACTTTAGTTTAAATCTGTTAGGGAAGTACTGGGTAGCACTGCACCACTTAGCATTCCTGTCCTATCTGCCTTTGGTCTTGTGTGTCATTGGTTGGAATTATTTGTCATGTTGGTCGAGGTATCCTGGTAAGTTTGGGTATTAGGTTACTAACTCATTTATTATAGCACCAAGTTAGTTTCTAATATCTATCCATTAAACATAAATTAAATGTAATTTAAACATTCAACATTTAATATGTAAACCTAAACTACATTTCAAGTTTAGTTACCTGCATACATGCAACCCATCTCCCATTTATGCAACTCATGTCCCATTTTCAAGAATTATGACTTTGGAG